GAGGGAGGGAGGGATCCCGCCTGTCAGCACGTCAACTGGAGTACAGCTTGCTTATCCCGGCACATGCCAGCTGTGAGCGTCGTGTTGCCAACACCACGTGGCACTTCGCGTACTAGAAGAAACACATGAAATAGGGAGGAGGAGGAGAGAAGGAGACGAAAGGAGGAGGAGAAGGAGGAGGAGGAGGAGGAGAAGACGAAAGGAGGAGCTGGAGGAGAGAAGAAGACGAACAGAGGAGGAGGAGGAGGAGGAGGAGACGAAAGGAGGAGCTGGAGGAGAGAAGAAGACGAACAGAGGAGGAGGAGGAGGAGGAGAGGGAGAACACGAAAGCGGAAGAGGAGGACAAGAGAAGAAGAAGATGAGAGGAGGAGGAGGAGGAGGAGGAGGAGGAGGAGGAGGAGAGAAGGACAAGACGAAAGGAGGAGGAGAGAAGAAAAAGAAGAGGGCAGGAGGAGGTTAGGACCTGCTGGATGTTGATGGCAATGACGAAAAAAGAAAGAGAAAAAAAAAAGGATGACGACGGAGGAGGGGAGGGGAGAGAGAGAGAGAGAGAGAGAGAGAGAGAGAGAGAGAGAGAGAGAGAGAGAGAGAGAGGGGGGGGGGGGGGGGGGGGGGGTGGGGGGGGGGGGGGGGGGGGGGGGGGAGGATTGGGTGGGAGAAGGGGGGAGGAGGGGAACCGAGAGCTTATACCGCATCCTTCGCATTGGCGATCAGTTGATCCACCATAGCAGGGTCTACCTCGTAATCCATGTTGCCAGGTCACAATGGCTCGTGACGAAGAAAACACGAATCGTGCCGAAACCACCTTTCCTCCCGAGCTTGCCGATACTGGAGCACAACCCTGCGTTCGGCCCGAGAAGTCCTCTTCGGCCGATTCGAGCGCATGCATCCTACCAACTAATATAGTCCCTGAGCAGCTGTAGTTCGAAGTCTCCTGTCCTTTTGGCGCCGACTTGCAAAAAAAAATGTTTTAGGGATGTTTCGAGAAAAAAACGAGGAAAAAAAACCGAAAAAAAGGAAAAAGGAAAAAAGGAAAGGGCGAAAAGGAAAAAAAAAAAGAAGAAAAACTACAAAAGAAAGAAAGAAAAAAGGAAAAGGAAAAGAGGAAAAGAGGACAAGCGAGAAAAAGGACCGAGGAAATGGAAAGTGTCGTACGGAACCGCCACTGGATACATGGGGAAGACCCTAAGCACAATAGGTCCACTTGGCTGAATCGGCACTATCGTCCTGACTGCCAGGCTAGCGCGCTGCTAGTCGCTTATTCTGCCAGGCTAGCGCGCTGCTAGTCGCTTATTCTCTCATGGTTCCTAGGCAAAATCGGAACGAATTGAGATATTTGAATTCTTATTTTCACTCTTATTTATTCTTTGTGCAATCGTGCATAGGTCCATGGTAAGTATCCAGGCTTGATCACCGCAAAGAAAAAGCAGAAGGCCCTGTACTGGTGTCTTCTACGATCTACCAGGTTTTGCCTTGCTGATTGGACCGTTTTTTCCTTTTTTCAAGTTTTTTGTAGAGTCTTGTATGTCGTCTGTCTTATAACATTACCTCTTTTCGTGGTCGGTGGTGTACAAGAAGCCCACTCAGGGCATTGTGAGTTTGAGCATGATCGTGGCGACTAGACTTTTGCGATCGGACTATAGGGGCTCGTTAGACACTCCTATTGAAACCCTCGGGCAAAAGGAAAAATTCCTTTTGGTTCAAAAGGAAATTTGAGCCCTTCGTTCCACCTGTCCTCGGGGACGTTGCCCAAGGACATTTCCTTCGAGGGATGTCAGAAAAGAAATAAGAAAAGAAAAAAAAAATCAAATGTGCTTGAGGCCTTCAGCCAATAGGGTGCCGCCACGATCCAGATTCTCGGTTGCAACGTCTCTCTACCCATGTGCCCTCTCCTCTCTGTGAAATGCGGATTCCGTTTGCCCTGGGCAAAAGGAAGAAATGGCTGGGGAATCCTCTGAGCCCAAGGAATTTCCTTCAGAGTGTTTTCACTTTTTTTTTCCGACTGCATCCCCGAGGATAGGTGGAACGAACAATTCCTCGGGGACTTTATTTGCCCGAGGAGTGTCTAACGAGCCCCTATATCCTACGACTACTGCGAGGAAAACAGAGCGCATATATGAGAAAGGAAAAAGGAAGACACATAAGGTAGAAAACTTATCTTGAAGCGAGCCGGGCTTGTTCTCATTCTCAACTTCATTTTCTCAATCTTTTCTTCTCTTATTTCTTTTCATTGGTCTCACCTGTGTCCTTTGACTGTTCCGCTTGTGTGTTCCCTTCATTCGTTCAATGATTCCCTGTATGTGTGTGTGTGTGTGTGTGTGTGTGTGTGTGACAACTTTTTTCATGTCCAGGTTTTTTATTGTTATAACTAGGAAATTTGATTGTCAAAGATGGGGTTTCTCACAATTACTAAGAGTTTATCTGACTGTCCGATGATGAATTTATGCACTTTCATTTATTATTAATGTATTTATTTGCTGGGCTAGCAGCCGGGGGGCTTGAGTCACCTTGGTTGCCCCCGGGCAGCCCGGCTGTGCAACACCAAAGAAGGTCCCAGCAAAAAAAAAAAGAACAAAAATTTTAAAAAGTCCGATGAAAAAGACTGCTATGCAGAAAAATAAACTGGATAACTTTCGTCTCATGGGCACATCAAAATTCTTTACCAAATTTAGAATAAATAAAAAAATACAACTGGAAATTTTTATTTTTATTTTTATTTTTATATTTTGTAACTGTTTTTTGCCCGGCGAAGTGATCTCGGTTCACTGTGGTAGCCTAGTTTATTGAACTTTATTCGTTTATTTATTTCAAATTATTTGTTGTTTACTTTTCATGCAGAGAGAGTTTAGCGATGCTCGTGGCACGCCAGATTCCGCTTGGGGCATTTGCAGTTAGATTGCAGTCCAACGTGCAGAGATCGAAGGTGACTTTGCGTTTCTTTCAGCGTTCAACGTTTTCCGTGCAACAGCGCCATTCTGTGGAGCAGTGCCTGGTTTCATTGATATCCGCCTCCTGTGCACATCCCTCGGAGAATCGTCTGCTCTCTAGCAAGGCCAGCACGCAAAGAGGCATTAGCCCGAAAGCGATTCTGCGGTTCTTCTCTGGCCAAAGGGAGAGTGAAGTCTCTAAACCAACCATGGAAGCGAAGTGGTGGAGCAAAGATACAGTCGCAGTTGTCACTGGAGGTACGTATGCTTGAGCTGTTGAAATACAGACCTGGATTCAAATCCTGCTGGACCTTGATGTATGGAATATATCACTCTCAATTACCTAAGGGCCGATCCGATCGAAGAAGATATCCTAAGGCTGTCCTCCTCTCTAAAAAAAAAATGTCCTAAGGCTGTTGCCCTTTTTCAAAAGGAAAAAATAACATATCCCAAGGCCGTCGCCCTCTCTGGAAAAAAAAAAAAAAAAAAGACTGTGCGAACTGTGTGCCAGAATGTGTTGCTGTTTGGGTGCCCTGGGACAGAGGCGTCATAGCAAATAAGGCAAAAGTGTGGCAGCCTTTGAGGCATTACCCCCAGAAAAAGGAAAATATTGACAAAATAATCAGAAGCGCTGTGATCTTTTTTTTTCTTTTGTTTTTTCTTTTTATACCTAATCAGACGTTTTCCACACATCCCTCTATGGTGAGGTGATATGAGCACCACCACGTTAGAGGGCTTGCCTTTTTTTTTCATTTTTTTATTTTTGAAAGAAACTTAGAGTCAGGGAGGCTCCACTTAATGAGGCGATAGAAGCATCCTCCTTAAGTGGTCCCCCCTGCGATGAAGGTTCTATCTATTGGTGGGGTGCTGCAGCTGGTCGGGAAATTGGTTCCAGCATCCCATTATGACACAAACGTTAAAAAAAAAAAGGATACAATGAGTGTCTGTATCTGGGTTAGGCCGACGCCCGGTCCAGACAGACTAGGCCTGATGGACCGGGCCAGACGGACCGGGGGGGTCCATCCGGCAAAACCAGACGAGCCAAAAGACGTCCATGGATTTTTTTTTTTTTTTTTTTGAAGATGGGGTTGGAGTGCGCTCGCTGAGAGGAGCAGGAATCCACGGAGAAACTTGTGAAAGGCATCTGTGTTGTGGGGGGGGGGG